ACATACACATTCACACACACAAACACACACTGAAGACTATACCCTGCAAGTTGCCGAGCAGCAAGGTATGTGTGGATTTCAACCTTTGTGCATATATGAAAACACTATTTCACTCTTGTTTTCGTGTAATTTTTGGTCATGTTAGCACTTAAAATAATAAAGTTTTACTACACGTAAGGACAGAAGCAGTATAAGCTGTGACTCACAATTGCTTAAACTTTAATGTAGCAATAACTGCTGTTAAAACTGTTGTTTTTGTGTAATTATTACGCAGAGCAGCAGAACACGTGCAACCATGTGAGGAAAATCTTTTTAAAAAGACCTCCCTTTCATTTATCCCTTCTTTCTTTCTATGTTCTTTTTATATTCTTTCTCTGCCTCTGTAATCCTTCTTTACCCACTCCGAAGAAGCCATGTTGTAGTTTTAAGTGTTGCCTGGAAATGTTCCCTGGTGCTTTTACAAGGGGAAGTGTGGCGTTCTTGCTCGGAGTCGCTTGCCGGTATTGTAGCTGACCGTGCCCCCGGTGCTCACTCATTATTTCCTACCACGCGCACAATCACGCACACCTTCTCCCCTTAACGCTCTCCTTTGGCTCCCTCGTCACATGCTTCCATTCAATACGTCATTTTGAATACAGTACCCCCGTGCCACCGTGGAAAAATACACCATTGTACAGTTTTTCACCTCTCACTCTCACTCACTCTACCTTTTGATTTGCAATCGTTTGATTTTTACAGCTGCCTCTCTCCTCCGCCCCCCCCTGTTTTTAAAGCAGAGGGTGTTTTGGGCCTTTTTTTTGTGTGTGCAGGAATCATCAAAGGCCTGCTTAATACAGAGGAACAGGTACCAATATCACTCTGTAGCACAATAATAAGATAAGTGGTACCATATTGACGCAATATAGCGGCACAAACAGCAGATTAGGCATTGGGTTTGAATACCCCCCCCCTCATATACTTATACACACATGTGCACATGTGTGCACAGAGCTCCCACATCAAAATGTTTGGTCATTTATTGCTCAACCAGCTACCCATTTTTCATATCTGTCATGGTCCACACATTCTCCCTCTGCCTTTTCTTTTTTTTTTTCTTTCGCCAGACAGTCTTTCCTCCCCATATTTGGAGCCAGTGCAGAATTTTGCATAGTTTTGCCTTTTCCCTGGATACTGTCTTTTCATCAGTGGCTGGCTTTCCCTTTGAATTGAACCAGATCAATTTACGGCCAGACAAAGATACAGTCTCTGTGTGCGTTGGAGGGGGAAGGCAGTGAGAGAAATAGGACGTGTGTGCTTTATGATGGCCATCATTGGCACACACGTCCTATTTCCAGCTCTCTCTTCTTGTTATCAGAGCCACGGCCATGGCTCCACCGTGCTGCTCGCTCTCTAGCAAAGCGTACACCTGGCTCTGAGTGCTCAAGCTATTGTTGGCTGTCATTGTAGCCCGTGGTCTGCAGTGCTTTTACACTCTGTGCATCCCTGTATTCAAGTGAAAACGCATCTTTGACGAAAGTTTAGAAAGATTTAAAATGATTCTCAATGAAGGCATGATTGCTTATTCTGCAAGAAATGAGTTGATCCTTATTTGACACAGTATTTAGAGGTTCTCTCCACGAGTTCCTGCATGCAGTCACTGTTGTTTCTTTCTACCCCGACTACGTCAACAACATGGCTCGGACTAAGTGCCACAAGGCACATGTGTTTGTGTGCGTCCAGGCAGACGGCAGAAAATGACTCCAGATCTCTATCTTTCTGCATTTAAGTCGAGAGTGCTCTGATTAAACACAACCACAGAACAATTTGCCTGTTGTACGGCCCTCCGATTAAACCACTGATTTTCAGAACCGTGTCAAGTTATTTTGCCATGGCAACGTTGATTACAATGTTATCAGCATTTCATGGGTTTTTTTTTCTCTATTTTTTTATGTCCCGACTCTTAAAATTATCATAGTAAGATTTGTTTTAATGGCTATGGTTATGTGGTTGCCTTGTGAAATATTTGACATTGTTAAATGTGTATTTTAGAAGTTAGGGTCTATAAATGCCGTATCTATGTCATATCTTGTAATTTCAATGGGACACGCAGTAATTATGAGATATCATCTTTATTACCGACAACACCATCTCTTGCACGTGTTCAGTAACAGCTCCTGCAGTTGCAAAGAGATGTGTGTTTGTGTGATAGCCTGCATCTGTGTTCATACGTGCCCTAAAATCTTTGTTATTGCAAGCCGCTACAAAGCAAAGAGCTCCGTTTATGGCACGCATTTACAATTTATCAAATAAATGGGATACCTTCATGTGGCCCGGGCCCTGCTCTCAGTGCAGAGCGGCGTAGTTTTCCACTGGAATAACAGCCGCTGAACAAGCAGCCCATTGTAGCCGCAGCCGGCACCGGGACCCCCAAGGTGCGAATTAATGATTGACCCCTGATGTAATCAGGATAAATAGCTCCCCGTAAAAGAGAAAGAGATGGCGAGAAGACCAGAGCGAGAAAGAACAACATAAGGAGCCAGGGAGAGGAAGGCACTATCTGGCCCGGGTGTTTTTTAAGAAGCCCTCGGGGAGATGAACCTAACATCTCTTTCCGTGTCTTGTGAGCCCCAGAGCTAACATAGGGCTGTTTAAAAGCAGCTCAGTCGTCAGTTTTTAAGACTCTTCACCTCCTCCTCCTCCTCCTCCTCCTTGTCTTCTTCCTCACCCCTTTCATTATTTTCCCAGCTTACTTTTCTCATCTGCAACCTTTTTGGCCACTGCTCGAACATTGTCAACTTGTCTTAAAGAGGGGAGGTGAGAGAGCGCTTGTCTCTTGTGGCGAGTAATCTGACAATGTCCCAGTTGTTTCTTCAGGTAATTTTTTTTATGAATTAGCTAAGTTACAACTGAGAGTTGAACTTGTTTAATATCACACTGTGTTGGAGACCGTGTCTCACAAAAGATGTTTTGTTCATAAAAAATGAAGAGGGTTTTTTTCTCGCTCTCTCTCTTTCTCCTTTCTCGATAATTTGACGGAGCAATTTGTGCATTTTTTTGTGCACAGGCTCTTAAAGCCGAAGAGTATTTAATAGATTTTCCGAGGCTGTCCTTCTGCTCGTCATAGTTGCTCTCAATGGGTCAAGTGTGAAAGTGGGGGAGTGAAGAGGGAAAGGGAGTCGAAAAAAAGAGTTTTCAGGCTGTTTAACAGCCTGAAAACACTTTTGATTGTGCGGAGGGAGCAGCAGATAGGGCTGAGTTATAAAACTTTAATTGATCTGTGAAAAGTGGAAGCTACTGCCGGCTCACTTGTTCCAATGCTTAATTGCACGCCTGTTCTGAGCCCCTATGAAGCAGTGATCATTAAAAAAATGGGTTATTTTCCAGTCCAAATCACTGGATGACGCCGAATCGGTCATAAAAGGCTGGATTTTACTGCAGCAGCTTTATATGATGTTTCCCGGATCTGCATGGACATGCTGCAGGTTTGCCAGGCACTGAAAAGCCATTGTCGCATGCTTTCATAGTTTCACATTTCACATTTAAAACGTACATGTCAGTTCATTTAACAGCTTTCACAGTCCACATCTGTCACTGGGCAGAAACCCAAATATTTATCGGAACAAAAAAAACTGATGCCCTGTACAACGAATGTGCTCATGTTCAATTTCACTCGTGACATTTTCTACTTTGGTTTCTTGATCCGCTCGTTCAATCTTTCTACGATTTACAAGCCTCAGTGCTTCCACCTCACTTTATTAAGCGTCCCAAGCAGAAATATACCAAATTAATTGTGGGTTTTTTGTTCAACTTATTTGTGATGTATATCTATTTCATTAAAATGCAACCCACAACGTTCCTTGTGACCTCATGAACTTTCATGTGCTAACAAAGCGCATTTTTGAAATGTCATGTTGCAGCTCCAGCTGAAATCTGGGAAGCGGTGGCAGGCTTTGCAGCAGGCTGGATGGAGGCTAACAGAGAGAGAAAGCTTGATTGGAACCACCCCTCCTGTAATTTTGGGCCTAGTTAGCCTGCTGATTGCCAGTCCCTGTGTTTAGATAGTAAAACTGTAGTGGTGCTTTGACTAAAGACACCAGGATCAGTCCAGAGAGGAAAAGAAGGATACACACATCGACGTGCTGAGGCTAACAAACACACACAAACAAGTACGCACTGACTTGGACTGGGTGTTATTCTATACTTTGTTGGTACTATTTCAGCACTGATGTACAAAGAGGCACATGATAAATGTGCTGATAGAAATCGCACACACCCCACACAGCAAAGCAGCTCACTGAGATGTATCTGCACATGCACATTTACAAACCTTCACTGTCTACAAAAGAATCCTCAATAGCACATTTAGAGAAATGAGATGAAACTTTAAGCCAAGCGCACATTGATACACACCGAAACACACACACACACACACACACACTTCTAGTGCTTTACATCACTTTCGTGCATGCTGGAATGGACAATCATATTGTCGACCTCTGGATGGGACAGTAATGCAAGGTGACGAGGCTAACCAGGTCAGTGATAGACACAGCGATTATTTGTAAGATGAGTCCTGGCAGAAAACCGGGACTGTCATGGAATTGAGAACTTTTCCCGTCAACGACTTGGCTAACCTAAAGCTTCTTCTGTTCGTCAGTTTGGCTCTTCTCTTGTAGTCTCTGGAAAATCTGTGAACTCAGCATCTTGTCGCTGAAGGCTATCAGATGCATCTGTATTCTTTTTTGAGGACCCCTGAATTCTCACACTCTGTGAGAATTGGGGGTTGATTTTTTTGTTGTTGTATTTTAAGGTCAAGAAAGTCATTCGATGTCTGCCTAGAATGGAGGTGTGTCTTAGTCTTTGTATTTCATAGTATATACTTGGCTGAACAGAGCTTTTTTCCTTCCTAACATGCTGACGGTAAAATCCATGGTGTAATCTTCTAAGAAATTGTATGTTGTGTTACACCACCTCTGCCTGCCTAATAACAATCGCCTCCGTATCTGTGTTTCGTCTCATAGATGACAGTGAACCAGTGGACAGCATGTACGACACAGAGGCCGACCTCCCGGGTTTAGCGAGCGGAGGCGGTGCCGACAGCCCAGAAGACGACACAGACGACGGTGTCATCAACATGTCCCCCCTGCCCTCACCGACCCCTTCCCATCCAAACAACAACCACCACCACCTGCTGCATCCCCACATCTACGCCACCCACCACCACCACCACCTTCACAACAACAGCAACAGCAGCAGCAATGACCAGGACTTCACCACACCCAAGGAGGGCTCGCCCTACGAGGCACCCGTCTACATTCCTGATGACATTCCCATTCCCAGCGAACTGGAGCTGCGTGAGTCCTCTGTGCCCGGTGCTGGCCTGGGTGTCTGGGCCAAGACCTACATCGGTGCTGGCGAGAGGTTTGGTCTGCACAGCCCGCTGCATCACGAGGCCACAGGCAAAGACGGCTCCTTTGGATGGGAGGTAGGAACCTGCAGGGCTTCTTACAGGGTACTTTGTTTGGGATTGTTAACAGTTATTTTTTCTCTTTTCATTTCACTGTCTGTCACATTTTGCCTACTTGTGGCTCAAACAAATGTGATCGAAACAATGATGCAAACACTGAAGAGGGTAAGTGAATGATCGAGCCGCTCTTCATCCATTCACATTTCCAGCCATCACTCTTTATCCACAGGCGATGTCATCATCAGCAAAGATGCCCATACAATTTGCATCCTCTGTGGTGATGTTTTTTCTTCACACACACACACACACACACACACAAATCACACTCCAGAATTTCAGCAGCACAGCAATGTCAGATGGAAAAATCTGCCTGATTAGTGGAGGTATCAGCTTTTCTGGGCGTCGGTCCGAGCGAGCGCGCTCATTTGGTCACGCCACCCGATATGGAAATGGGAGAAGCATAGCCCAATGCGGTGGCGGCATATTGAACTATTAATTTTCATTTCAACATGACATTAGAGGATATTGAAGTTGCTTCAGTAAGCTCATTAAAACGAAAAAAAACCTCCTGATCTCTGTCTCCCGCTCTCTCTTTCTCATGTGCCTAATCACAGATGAAATATACCGGCCTGCTTTTCATTTCACTGACTCCTTGACTCTTTAGAGTGACTTTTTAGGGGGCCGGTCATTCACATAGTCTAATATTACATTTTTGTGTAATAAGGAATAGAGACAAGTTAATCATTGGAACTCCATTTTGAAAAGGGCATGATGTGCTTGAACTCGACACCACCAGCTGATGCAAACGGGTACAAGTTCATACAATTTTAGACAGGACATGCGATAATTTGGATTATTTATTTTTTACTGTAATTTCTGGCAACTAAGTATTTAGAAGACCTGATGAAATTGGGGCATTGTAAGCAAATATCGTATATTGAATGTATGATGGACAACATAAATTGATGAGATCAAATGATTATGTTTACTTGTAGAGCTAGAACAAACGTTATGGTAATCAACAGCACAGATGCCTGCTGCTGATCTGTGATGCTAACATCTAGGGAGAGTAAAACTAGTATCATAGGAGCAGAAATTATGATTTAATAAAAGCAGATTGTAACGCTTTTCTTATTATTTTCATTATCAATAGGTTGAACAGGCAAAGTAAAATGTTCTTTGAAGATACTAGAGAGTAATAGTTTAGAATACAAATAACATTTACAATTGATACTAGTAGTCACATTATCAAATCATGTGGCAATTTTTTTTCAGTTTCTCTCAAGAGGAAAAAAAACTTTATTTAGTACATATATTGAAAATATATTATCTCTAAAAACTCAGAAAAGTATAGATGAATCCCTTGTTGACCAGCTTTTAAAGAAATCCCTATTGGCTTCAGTGTGAAGAACTCCTGGTGGTTTCCACAAAAGCCTTCATTTCTCTTTTCACCCTGTTTTCTTCTGAACAGTTGTAGGAGCATGCAGGCGATTAGAGAACATAGTCACACGCTATGTGGCAGTGTGCCAGGCTGAACATTTTCCTTTTTAAAGTTCATATTATGGCTAGCCATTCGGGGGTGCAAAGGGCACCCCTCCAAAAGCTACACTCTCCCCGTAGCTCTCATGTTTTCTCTCAGTTTTCCTCCTCCTTCCCCTTTTCTCCCCAGACGCTCTGGCTAATGCATATTCATCAGCTGAGCTTTAGCTCTCTTCTGCTTGTAGGAAAAAAGGCCACCTTCAGCTCTAAAGAGATGCATGTGCTCTCAGAAATGTCCTGGCATATACAAGCCTCCCTAAAAAGGAATTCAGCACAGTGTTTTAAGATGTTTCGTTTATTGGCCACTTTAAGACAGAGTTTGCTGTGAAAAATTATTTTAATAAAACACATAGTATGGTACAATACAGTATATACATGAACACAGTCCAGATTCTACCTCTGTTTTTGACACGTTTTTGGTCTTTTGGTGACATTTTGGAAATTCGTTTGAGAGCAATTTTCACAGATCAATTAGCATGTTTCTGTTAGCCTGAGGTCAATTGTGTTTACCCTAAAGGTACAATCTTTTGCCTTTGCCTCCAAACATGTCAAAGGGGAACAATTGATCCGTCTCTTTTTCCTCCTCCTCTTGAATGGTTGTTGGAGGGCTCACTCTGTGTAAGGCTGTAGTATTTTTTTAAAGATATCCTGTCTGGTTTAGGGGCTGGAAGACTTCGGGGGCTCTCCTCTCCCAGACTCTTATCACAGATAGTCATAACAGTCAGTCTGTTGATAGCCATCAACAGACTCCCCTAGGAGTACCGTACACCCCCTTTCACCATCTACCCCTCGACTCATCTACTGCCTCTGGTCTTAGACAAATAGACAGATAGAAGTAATACTGAGTGAAGAAAGATGTTGAAAGAAACCAGAGAGAAACAAGGAGTAATGGGGATGGATAGAGCAAGAAAAGAGGATGCAAAACACACATTTCTCACAGCATCAGAAACACTGAAGGAGTCTAATACTCTTCATGGAAATCATGTGAATGGGTGTGTGAGTTACAGCAGTCTCCTGCCAAAACAGGGGAAGTGTTATGAGAGATAATAAGTGAAGTCATCTGAGATCTCTGGTGTAAATGTGATCATATCTAACATTTTGTCTCAGCACTTCTTGGTTGGAAGAGAAAACTGAGTTAAGTGCTGAATTTAGTTATCAGAGTGATTAGTGTAACTGTGCTTCCACTTAATAATAAATTCCAGTACACTATATCGCTGATGTAGGGTGAAAGCCTTGTCTTCCCAAAATGCTCCGAAAAGTTGAACGGCCTTATTTCGGCCTTATTTCCTTCTTGATGAAGTTAATTGAATGATATTAAAATCAGAGGTTACAGACTATTCTGTAAATGCAGCCCTGTAATCTGCAAAAGCATGAAATGCTGTTGAAATGATACATGCCATCTGCAGCAGTACACTCAAATCCAAAACAGTTTAACTACATTGACTGCATTTTTGTGGATTTTTTTTTTTACGAAGACTGGCAACAACTCATTATGTTGGATTTGCAAGCACCGCGGTCTACCAACGCGGCCAAGCCCCTCTCACAATCACACAGAGGACGCCGTGGTGCTTTCTGGATATCTGAGTGGAGGTGTAGATTGGCGGCGAGAGTAATAGAAAGAGAGAGTGAAAGAGTAGCAGTAAGAGAAAGAAGAAAGAGGAAGGCAGAGAGGAAGCCTACTATTGTCTGTCCCGGGGCGCTGGGGACTGGAAGAGGTGTTAACTCAGACTCATTTCAGCAAGACGGACAGCTCAATCTAAGAGCTGCTTTGCTGCAGGCCACGGCCATTCTCTTCTGTCTCAGACTCCCTCTCTGGGCCAGCACCGAGTCATCCATTTAAAAACCATTATGCTCCCCCTTTAGCACAACATGATAGAACGCCAGGGCCCCAGGTCTACCATATGTGTGTGTGTGTGTGCGTGTGTGTGTGTGTGTGTGTGTGTGTGTGTGTGTGTGTGTGTGTGTGTAGGGCTGCCAAACTTAGCCTGAGGATAGGAAGGCCTGAGCAGAGTGAGGCACGGCCCTCAGAGAGTCCAGTGTGGGGATCTGCTGTCAGAGTGACTGCTGTTATTATCTGGCCGGTAGATTGGCCTGACTTGCCTATTGATAGAGACATGTCACCATACAATGGCTGGATGTATTGTGCTCTGTGCACAGACTGGCATTGAATAGACTCCCTGATCTAACTCCCTCGGGTGTTCAGATGGCAGGAGAGAGGGCAACACATCTGCGGATGTGTTCGGAGGAAGCGGTGCATGTTAGTCGGAATAAACTGTAGAGTTACAGCTTGGATCTCTTTGGCCACATTAAATCCTTCCCACAGTGAAGTGAACCACGTTGACTTTGATCTTTAGAGGCAGAACAAGATAAAACCGAGTCTCTGTGTTCAGAACATTCATGAAGCAAACAAATGGTATGGCCAAGCCCTCTGGAAGCGATATTAATGATGTTTACTCTCACTTCTCCTTACCCTGTGACCACTGGGCGTGTCCTTGCACCACTGAATCATGGCTTTTGACACTCCTCCAGCACCTGTTAGCTTTGTCTTTTCTCACTATCTTTTTGTTCTCCAGCTCGATCGTGTTTGCTATCTCACAGTTCTTGCTTGAAAGTCAATGCACGTCAGGCGTTGCCACACAACCTCGCCAACTGTGAGAAGGCAGAATCCCCTTGCTTTGTCAGTTTTACACGATTTACTGGCTGCTTAACTGTAATTATCAATTGTGTCCTGCCATTGTCACTTTATAGGATATAAATGTTAATCAGCATGATACCCTCAGGGTATGCAGCATTCTGAGGCATAAGGGGGATATAAGAAGGACATATAGTGCATTTTGATTTTCGGGGATGTGCATTGATGTAGACCCTTTTACAAGGTCAACAAAATAGCTTTCATACACAGAAAAACATGTATCATATAGTCCATGTCAGCCCTGAAGCCATATTTGTTTCTTTGCAGCGGTGGACCTTGGGATGACTTTGTTACCAGGTGAACTTCTTTTTCTCTGTTCGTCATTCTTTTTCTGTTTACTTTTTGTGGGGTGATTTTCCATATCAGTATCTTTCACCCAGTGATGTGTGGAACGAGGCAAAAAGTATGCTTGCTCTTCTGTTTACCCCGTTATTGACTTAGCGATAGGCTAAGACGTCTGGCGGGCACTCTCATGTCGCCAAGGTCCTACGTGACAGATACCCATCCGGCCATGGCATCATGAATCTCCCTCACCCTCTGTCAGGCTCTAAATCTCCGGCTTGACAGCTCGCCTTTTTCGCGCTGACGCTGTACTTCTTTTGTTCTCGACCTAATCGCTGAGCTAAGCCAGCGTCCTTTTCTCCAAACTTTAGGGGAGAAGAAGTCCTGGCGCACCCTGACACTTATCTGTCCTGACCCACCTCTCGCCTCCTGAAGTGTTTGCTCGCCTTTTGTGTTTTGCCTGAGGTGGGCGGATGGCCAAGTTCTTATGCTGCAAGATATCCCT